GCGCCATCTTGCACCGCAAACGTGCTGCCGTGCATGATGAGAGCTGCGCCGAGCGTTGAGGTTGCCACGATGAGCGCCGTGCGCTCGCTGCATCGGAGGAAGAGAAGGGCGACGACCGCTGCCCAGACACCGGCCACGATACCAAAGGCGACGTCGACAATCGGACGCATCGCGTAGGTACTAATGGCACCGACGGTCGTCATCGCCAGCGCGATCAAGGTCAGTGTGGTCCAGCGCATGGCCTCGTCGAGACCGCCGTGGCGGTGGCCGGCGTAAAAGACAAGGGTGACGATCGCAACGGGTGCGATCGCCGCGAGCGGCGAGACGTAGAACGTAAAGAGGCTACCGAGGAGACCAACGAAGAGCGCAATCATGTAGGCGAGGCGGTATCCGAGGCAGCAGCACGTGACACCGAGGAGGACAAAGGTTGTTGCGACCGGCGAATAGTCGGCCATCGTAGTACGGGCAAGGACACTGTCGGACGAGCGCGCAAGTTTGTAAATAAACAAAGCGTACAGTACACTGATACCACCGCGAAAGGATCCGGTGGCCTATTATAGGCCAGACATTACGTCGTAAACGGCTAGCTTTGTCAGCTGGGTGCTCCTGACGTCAATCAAACAGATAGCCAGCCGGTTTCATCGTTACATCGCTGCTCGCTTTCTATGTTGCTCTTCTCGTCGTCCCCTGTCGCGATACTAGTGACCGAGAGGCGACAACACCACAGTGTTTCCACACACAGCTCTGTCAGATACGTACATGTGTAGCGATTCGAACGGATCAGGAGGCGTGCTGTGTACTAGTACGTGGTAAGGTTAAAAAGATGCTCGCTTTATATGGCAGTTACAACAAGTCGTGTAACGCGATTTTTTAGCTGATTTTTGTTGATGGACCATACGCTCTAGACGGTGCGGACACTAATAGACTCGAGTATACAAAGTTGCCTTCAAGCCACCCGGCAAACGACATTGCATCGTCGTCTGGCCAGCCAAGAAGATTCGCAGAACCCGCTTGGGTCCTAACGTTACTATTTTCAAAATACTGGTAGCTCGACGGCATGCAGTGTAGCAACACGCCCGACGTCAACCAAAGTTGGAGATGCAGATCAACGTCAACGGCGGCTCGCACATTGCCTACCCGCGAAGGGTTGCGCACAAGAGGTAAACTAAACAACACCTCGCCCCGAGAGACTACAGAGTCGGTGGGATTCAACTTACGTGATCCATCCATGAAGAATTGGTACGGTGCGAGTGGATGTTATACCAGCATGCATGATGCAGTCCCGGCTCTTTCGAAGAGCAATGCAACTTCCCCACAAAAAGTTCTCTGGAAGCGTCAAGAGACGGTCATCAACACCTTCACATGTAGCAAGGTCGACCACATTTCGCACAATGTAAGACGCTACTCGAATGGGGACTCAAATGCTATAACGTTAACAGTCAGTAGGTCGTTGACAAGGTTCACTAGCACCTGTTCACCTCTGTGCATTTCACAGACAAAACCACTACATGTCGATATATGCAGCTCGCGTTTGGGCAGACGACTTCGTCGTAGCGGTCGTCTACGTATTCCTTGTCCGGTGCAAGAGCAGGCACTGCCTGCTCTTGCACCGATAAAATCATTTAATTCACCATACTACAGTACCGGTATGCTTGCCACTCTCTGCTACACCTTTTACCATAACAGATAGGGATTGTATTAAAAAAGGTCAGCGTCTCTGTATGCAAGGTAGTGTTTCTCTAGTTTCTCTAATAATACGCTGGCTGACGCCACTCGTACAAAGTGGTCTCGTTGATGCAGGCACACGAGTAGAGTCGTCGCGAGGCGACGTCTTGCTGGGCTTGCGACTGCGCTCCGTAGGCTCGTTACTTAAAGCTCGCAAACGACGAGCAGCTCACGTCCGTACGTGTTGTACTACATCGCATCTCTTACCACTCGAGTTTCGTGTGACGCAGCAAAGGTGGCAAGACACAAATCCCCAAGCCAATCTCTCTGCCTAGATCACTGTGTAATGCTACACGGCAAAAACGCAGGCTTTGAGCAAGCGTCGCACGAGGCGTTTACAACGGTGCCAACGCTGCACCCTCTCGTTCGACGTGAAATACGCCACCAGCAAACGTGGCAACTCGCTACATTACAGTTGATATAAGGGCGGTGTGGGAGGTTGTGTTGTTGTGTCGCCTTCGCAGCATTACGCCTTGTTAAGGACGACCGAGATGACTCTTGCAGCTTTCTCCCATGACTCCTAGTCAAGAAGAGGACTTGTTGCATAACCCCACACCAGAGTTTTGGATAGATAGATAGATAGATAGATAGATAGATAGATAGATAGATAGATAGATAGATAGATAGATAGATAGATAGATAGATAGCCTTCGTCAACACGTGAGTCTTGTCAGGCAGTGTATTCTTGTCAGGCAGTGTATTACCGGGATTATCACTATGGGTTTCTTTTTCTATGTGGTCCATCGTCAAATCAACACGTGAGTCTCTTTGAATTGAGAGTTTCTAGCACAGATGTGTCCAAGCAAGTGATAAAGTGCAAGTGTCGTACGAACACAGCTGTGTCAATGGATCTTCCAGCCTCTATAATAGTTCTAGCCTCTTCTTCCTCTCCTTTCTCTTCTTCCTTGACTTTATTCGGCATTTTTGTTGGCTTCCCACAATGTAAAAGGTACTTGCATACCGGTAGTCTAAACTGCAGCTCGAGCACGCTAGTTCCAAACTATTAGTAACAATATTCCGCCAAGGGAATAAAACTATTCTCTTGGCTAGTTCCAAGGTCTAGAAACCTTTAGCTAGACGGACAAACGTACTATCGTCGTAAAATCCTCGACCAATTTTTGTGTGCACAGAATTTTGTTGCCGTTGATTGGCGTTTTGGTTTCAATCTATAAATAGCTGCATGTGGATTTTGGCTCATTAGCGCTTCCAGCAGCAGCAGCAGTAGCACGAGCATGGGAACGACCGAGTCGCGGACGGCGCCGCCGCCGCAAGCATGCGGCGCGATGCTCTGGAAGGCGGCGCGG